AAGGAAGGAAGGAAGGAAGGAAGGAAGGAAGGAAGGAAGGAAGGAAGGAAGGAAGGAAAATCCTAAAGGCAGACAGGCAGCAAAAAGCTTGCAAATCTTTGGAAAGCTTTTTGCTGCCTGTCTGCCTACCTTTAGGATCAAGCTTTGTTTGGTGCACGTTTATGCTGCCACTTTTTCTTTAAAACCAAAGAACTTTAAAAGTTCTTTAAAACTATTTTCAGTTCTTCAAGGCAAACAAGCTGCAGAAAGATTTTCAGGAATAGCTATCAACTTGTGAATATCAAATGCCATCACAGCTCACCGCCCCAGCTTTAGAAAGAGAGAAAGTGAATTTGGTAGAATTTGGACCCAGAAGAATAGAAAAGTTACTTTTTAGGATGTGAAATAATATTTGGAGGGGTTTTCAACCAGTCAATCAGAATAGATCTGGATCGAACCTTGGAGATCTTCATAGTCCAATTCCCCTCCTCAAGCATTTCAGGAGGCTGTCCAGTCTTTTCTTAAAAACCTTCAGTGATGAAGTCACAACAACCTACAACTTCTGAAGGCAAGCTGTTCCACTGGTTAATTGTTCTTACTGTTAGGAAGTTTCTCCTTAATTCCAAGTTGCTTCTCTCCTTGATCAATTTCCATCCATTATTTATTGTCTTGCCTTCTGGTGCTTTGAAAAATAACTTGACCCCCTCTTCTTTGTGGCAGCCCCTCAAATATTGGCATACTTTTCTTTTTCTTTTGCTCTTCTATTTCACTTACTTGGTGACAAAGCATGGAAAGGCAATTCATAAGGGAATAACTATAAAGTTACCTGTTGAATTTTTGCAAATAGATATAGCATGATACCAAACCAGACATTTCTGGGTAGCTCTTGATGAAAACACTGCTGTTTGATGCTTTATAAGAGGTTTTAAGGTGTAGGCTAAAGATAAATTATTGACTACAACAATCGGGCTGATCACTGAGATACAAAAAGAAAATGATCTAATCTGATGTATGTTCTCAGTACTGGCTGAGGATGCCAAACAGTTTCTTGCACAATGTACATTATGAAGTTTCACTTCTGTTGTAGTATCTATTCTTGCCTTTGTCTCCTTAATTTTTTTCATCTCCGATAGCTTGCTGAGACCTAATATATCTGGATTGCATCCATGTTTAAGACCACTAGAAGGCAGCAAAGAGTTAAACATTTTTCTTATTACCATCTAGTTGGCCTTCAGAGATGATGTGATATGAAGATACACCAACTTCCTATATGGTAGGGCTAGCAAGTAAGCTGAATTATGCCTAACTATGGTTCATTGAATAACATAAATAGATTGGGTGAACTGGCAAACAGTATGGAAATCTATCAGCTCCTATAATAGCAGCACTTATTACATTTTGTAATTGCTGTCGTTTAACGCCAATGAAAATAACGCAAATATATCCAGAACTATATGCTATCACATATTGTAGAGGTCTGTAATCCCTTTTAGCATCCTGCAGGCTACAGGGATGTGCCAGATTGCCATTTCCATTGAGAAGGGAGTCCAGGAAAGATCCTTAGAGAACACGCAGTCGCTGCCAACATTTGAGTAAAGATAGAGACAAGAAGAAAAACATTAGACAATGAAGATTTTTAAAATGGGGGGAGGGGGAATAACACATATATATCTACTGGAAAAGTCTCAGTCCCAATGTGTTCTGCTTCAGGGAACTTTGCTTAAGAAAAACAATGTATTAACGAACAATGAAATAATTGCAAACATCACAACTTATGAACCATTGTTAACCAGCGCAATTATAAATAAATTGAAAACATTTCACATATATCAAGAATTTGACTGAAAAGAACCTCAAAAAATGAAAGCCCGATATCAAGTTAATTGAAACATCTATAAATAGAGCCCATTGATGCAATTAAACACAGTTTGTATAATTAACAAAAAAAATTAAAAAGTTGCATCCTGCATTCAACCTCCTATTGCTTCTGATTGCATGTGGTACACAAGGACATAATTATGTGCGAAAGATAAAAAGCATAACATTACCAAGATAACCCCCCACATACACACATATATATATATGTATGTATGTATGTATGTATGTATGTGTGTGTGTGTGTGTGTGTATATATATATATATATATAT